GAAGCTTGAGCAGGAATACTCGGTTCCCGCTGCGTACCCGCACGAACCCGCTCAAACACATTCTTAAGAACCCCAGGAAGTGCCTCGAGAGCGCGCTGGCTGGCCACGCCCACGCCCATCGCAAAAACCTTGCCCCCAGCCACGGCGCCAGGAATCACGACCATGGCATCCGGAATAGGGATGAGAGCGGCCAAGAGGATTCGAATTCGGCCGCAGCGGATATCGTGACGCACTCCCAGGACATCGCGCGCGAAGCCCTTCACACGCAGGTGAGGAGCAGGGACCAGCCGGGGATAAACGGTGACGACGGGACGATCCAGCCACAAGAGTAGGCGAAAGCACGCGAGCACGCGAGGAAACTGTAGAACGACGAACGGGAGACAAAAGCCGCACGCTCGAATGCGACGCGGGCGATGGCTAACCATCAGCGCGAGGAGCTCCCTGCCATGGTGAGCGGGAGATTCAGGTTTCAGAGAGAACCGCCGCTCACGAGCACGGGATGCAGACGAGGACTGACGATCAGCGCGAGGAGAGCGCGGCCTGCCACGCTTGGAGCGAGCAGGAGAATGCGGGTCCAGAGAGTACCAACGCTCGCCAAAACGAGTCGCTGGGGAGGGCTGACGATCAGCGTGATGAGCTTTCGGGTCAACCGCAGCGGCCGAGGGGGCCAATGGGTCACAAATACGAGGTGCAGCAGGAGCAGCAAGGTGTGAACGATGATGAGGAGCAGCACTCTCCGTGATCCCTCGTAATTTGGCGAATGAGAACGCAGGTGCTGCACGAGCGGAGCATTCAGACCACGATCCATCACCGCGACGGATGGCGTGGTGGTCGCCGAGGTCGCAAAACAGGAGAGGAAGGTAAATTACGGGAGCGGCGCACCCAGTGCGGAGCCGGCAGGTGGCCGCGGACGCAGACACGGAGGCACACAGGGAGGTGCTTTAGAGAACGGTTTTCAGAGAGCAGCGAGGAAGGCATTAAGGAATGAAACAGAGGCTGACGACCCGACGTATATCTGTCCGAGTGACGGGTCTGAAGAATTGGAGGAATCTGGCTCGCCGAAAGAGTTGTGAGGGAGTAACCTGGCTCGCTCTGGGCCAACATTGCGCCGAACCGCATCACCAATTCCAACAAGTGGGTGCGGAGGGGGAAATGCTGCCCAGGAGCGCGACGCGACAACTGCAATCCAACCCCCAACTCCGCGGCAACATTTTCAAGAGGAGCTGGCGTTTGACGAGACCAAGTTCTCGAGAATCTGGTACTAGTCAACGACAGTCACCAGCCCCCACTTTCGCTCCGACTACCAGCAGCAGTTCGCCCGCTTTTTGCAATGGCGATGTTGATATCCTCGCTACACGTCGCCTCAACCTCTCTCACAGGCTGGCGCCTGTTACTCTACATTCCCCACCTGACACTTTGCCTTGCATCTCCCAAGTGACCGGACTGCCAAATAGAAAAGCAACCTCTGCACTCGTTCTTAGCCGGGGATTGAGAGGAGCTTTACCAATCGGCGATCGCTGTGATCGACCAACCACCACCGGGACACCACCAATCTGACAAGACGGGAAACATTGCACGTTTGGAAGGCCTTGCATGACGAGGCAGCTAGCGCCGAGCCATGATGGCCCCGGAGTCATCAACAGTAGCCGAACCTACCTCCGAAGTATTGGCGGCGTCTCCAGGAGAAAACCAGCAGCGCCAACCACCCCACTGACATGGCCGGACCTCTCGTCCATTCAAGCACTATCCATCAGTTTCTGCTTTCACGAAAGTTTTGACCAACTCGGAGAACGGAGTGGGGGCACGCATCTTTGAACACCTTAGAGATGCCAGCCTCACAAAAACATCTCCTCGCCCTCGTAAACACAGTGATGAAGGGCAACCTGCCTCTTGAGGTAGCCGCTCTACAGACGTCCCCGTGACTGTTAGCATTGACAAAGCCGTGGGGCGGGGCCCGTCCAATCGCCATGGGCGAATGCCTAATGCACATTGCCGCCATGTCTGCGCTGACAGTCGTCGGGGACGCAGCTTGGAGTAGCCGGACCTGGCGGCGGAGAAGCTGTCATCCACGCCTCTCAGAGCTACATGGATGCGCACCCCAACTCACTCGTAGTCCAGGCCGACTTCGCTAACGCTTTTAACAGCATCCATCGCGAAGCCGTCGTCAACTCAATCAAGGAATCCCCAAACCTCAATCTGCTAACGCTTGTATGCCTCTCCTACAGGAGAGCCCGTGCCACTCAACGTGGATGCAAGTTTCAACAGTGAGCCACTGCTCAGTGAAAGGGGGGTCCGCCAAGGGAACCCACCGGGTCCCCTACTCTTTGCCGCGGGCGCATCCGGCACTGATATCTACAGCAGCAGCAGCCTTCCCAAACGTCCTTTGCCTTGCATACGTACGTAGACGACGTTACCTTTCTGGGTGATACATGTCCACGTGCAGGGCGGTATTTGACCCCTTTATCATGTGCCTCGCCGGTCTAGGACTCGCATGGTGCATGAACGCAACAGCCGCAAATCTACTACTGCCCGAGGGCGTCCCCTTTTGAGCAAGAGGCCTTCGCATCCTAGGGAGCCACATTGGCCCAACAGATGGCGCTGCTGAGTTCCTTCGCTCACAGCTGACGTCTATGGCGAGTCCGCTGCCACTCCTCTCATGCATGGATCCTCATGTGGCGTGTTTCTTGCTCACCCCCTGGCGTTGCTCCCGGACGAGGTCTGGTCCGCTTGGGGACGGGCCCAGCTGAACACCCTCTTAGATGCCTGTGGCATCCACCATCCAAGAGGCGAGGAGGAGCAGAAACAGGTCTGAGCACAAGCTTCACTACCGCCATCCCTGGGGAACAAACCCCTCGGTTAGACAGCTTCACGCACTCTCGGAGTCCACTCCGCGGCCTGGATAGACAGGCAAGCACCCCCTGGAGGCTTCCTTGCTGGCACTAGATCAGCCCCGCCAAAGAAACTCACCTCTAAATGAATGGAAGAGCAAGAGCTCCATCCCAGAAGCCGCGCGGGAACCGCTGGACCCTATGTGGCCGGCAGACCACAACAGGGCACAAACTACAACATGCCTCGACCCTGAGCGTTGAAGGTCTCCTCTTTGCGGAGGAAGTGATGTCCTCGAGAGGCATGACCATTAACCCCAATGCAGGGCACACACAGCGGCTGCTCTCGCTCTCGGGTGGGGCAGCGGATAGGCTCGCTGATCCCTGCGGCTCAGCCCGCCACTTTGCCATGGCCCTACGTTTCAGACTCGAACTTCCGTTCTCCGCCCGGAGCAAGTGCGACTGCAGTGACAGGATATATATCCCAGACCCACGGCTACCAAATCACCTCTTTCGCTGCGGCACCGGCTCTGGACGAACCAACACACACAACGCCTTGCGTGACAACAGCATCTGGATGGCACAAGATGCGGGTCTCATAGTTCGTACGGAGACCATGGCCTTATGTCCGGCCTTGGACAAGATTGTAGACCTCACCATCCGGGGCGGCACTTCAGGGGCGGTATGGATCTGTGACGTGAACGTGACGGATCCAATAATTCCTCGCCACCAACTGGCTCGAAAAGGGAGGGGATGGGTTGCAAATGAAATGGCTGCAAAGGAAACAGACCACTGCCGCAACAGGGCAGCAAACGTCGGCTTCTTCCCCTTGGCGGCAGAGACCTATGGTTTCCCTTGTGGGGAGCTTCCAGCATTTCTAAAGTTACTGGCAGACACGACAGCGAGTCGACTTTTTGACGCTGAGTTCCGCCACCGCTGGTCTGTGGCGCTACAGTGTGGACAGGCGGTAGGCTACCTCATTGAATCAAATTTCGCGGCCCAGGTAAAAAACCCGCCAATAGGAGGGCCTAATGAGGCATTGTGCCCGAGAGATTGCTTCTCGGTGCTGAATTCGGTGGTAGAACTGCCGTAGGATAGAAATTGTTTCTCTGTTAGGTTTTGTTTGTTTGATAGGTTGTAGTTGCGCTTAGAACTTCTTGCCTATATTGAGATTTACCACTATATCAACTAATACGACGGACCGTTCGTTAGGAGCGGAGGGTGACTAGGGGTGAGTGAGGAGGACAAGGCAGTGGGAGCGGAGGGCGCACCGGTGGGCAGACGATGGCGCAGGTTAGGCGGAGGAGGCATTCGGCGAGCTGGTGAGAGGGCACGGGTGAGGAGGAGAATGCATGTGGCGAGCGGATGAGGGTGCGCAACGCGCTGGTGCGACAAGTAGGGAGGGGCTTGTGGCGATAAAGGAAGGGCGCACGATGTGCCAATGAGGGAGCGCGTGACAAGCACGAAGGATCGTGCGTCGATCAGGGAAGGGCGCGCGCGTCGAGCAGGGAGGGGGCGCGTTGGAGTAGAGAACGTGAAGGCAAGATCCCAAGATTTAAACTACAGTGTAGCTCCAGAGTCTACATTATGTCATGTGCACCACTACCAAATATTAGATTACCTACACTACAATTGAAGGGATACATGTATTCTAACAGTGTCCAGCGTCCGTATGCAGGACGGCCGTAAAACAAAGATCGGACAGCCGAAAAAAAAAAAAAAAACAGATGAGCACATATCCCAAGCCTAAAGAGCACTTTTTTTTGCGCCCCGCTGAGATGTCGGATTCCTTTTCTCATGGGGAAGCAATGGCGCCAGCCTTCCCCTCTCCCCGTTCCCCTCCTGTTCCTGATCCTGTCCGGGACATTATTGCCTGGGCAAGCGTAAAAAATTCCCGGAATCGAGCGTCTGGATACTAGCGTTTGGACGAAACACTGGACGCAACCACGGTAACATAGGTCAAGCCTAGTTTGCATAAGATTATTCTTGCATCTTAATAAATTTTGCAATTTGTTCCCCCTCTTATATGTCTACCCCATGTCATCCGTAATGATTGTAATTCTTTGCCGCTGCTTGTGTTCGATTGTGCTCCTCCTCCTCCCGCGGTGATAAATGTTTGTCCTACTTCAACCACCTTCTCATCAAGGTCGCTGGTGCTTGCATTCACCCTCTCAGCGAACTTTCATACAACCAGCTCTCAGGGAGCATTCCTACTCAACTTACTCAACTTACTCGACTTTCGGCCCTGTGAGTCGTTCGCACACAAGCGAAACAGGTAGGAAGGAGGTAGGTAGCACACAAGTATGATCCGGGCTACCTCGCCATGTCAGCCTGCCCTCCTCCTGCCTTAGTTGGTTGTCGAGTCGTTTTTCTCTTTCAAACTGTCCATGTAATGATTGAACAGCTGGGTACAATTAAGACAACTGCAGGTGAGTGGTCATGACCAGACAAACAAACACTAGGCACTCCGTAGTACTACGGGGAAACTGCGGCTCAATCACGGACTCCATGACAGTGAAGCAGTTCCCTGGGGACAGAGCTTCCTCCGGCCATCCAATCAGCGGGTTTTCGGCCTATGCCGCCAGGTTGATGTGGCAGGTTTGACATGTCCACGCTGAAGCGCCACCGACCAGCGCTGGCGGAACTGGTGGTGAGCCAGCTTGGCTGCTTGGCATTGAAGAGCTTGCGAGCAGCAATTTGTCAGCCAGGAACCTGTTCGCTTGGCTGCTTGGCATCGAAGTCAGGGATGTCGACCCGTTTGCCACGTTTACATGCCCGTGGTGCCGAGAATGGGAGGCCCAGGCGAAATTGCAGGGGTGTCAGTTGATTCAGAATGTTTCCATCCATTGCTGTAGACTTGCAGCAATCGACTGGACTTAAATTTGATTCAGAATGTTTCCATCACAATAGATTTGCTGCCTGCTTGTCCTTTGTACTGCTTGTTTCTCGCATGTGTGTTCACCCTTTCCTCATCCCACCACTCTAGACATGAGCATAACACAATTATAATATAGTTTTCCTGATATTTACAATTCGAATCGAACTGGTACTGGTTCGATTTGAACCGTTCGGTTCGGTTCAGTGCTGAGCTGCATCGAACCTCGGTCAGTTCAACGCGTTTTTGGTTCGTGTTGGAGGTTCGATACAGTATCCTTGGGCATTTGGCAGAAGTTCGAGACCCGTCAAAGCCTAACTTGGACCGAACCCGAACTGATTGGGGTTAGACATGAGCGAAACACAAGTCATGTTTTGCTCATTCTTATGCTGACTCAACTCGTCTGTACAACTCGATCAGGTTTTTTTTGTACCTGGGCCTGCACTACCCTGCCCCCCTGGACCCCTAACAAGCAACAGGTAGGGCAGTGCGGGCCACAGCCGCGGACAAACCCCTACCCCTCGGACCAAACCCCTACCCCCGCGGACAAACCCGTACCCCCCCGGGCACAGCCGCGCCCGGCTCTGCCCACAGATGTTAGGGCAGGCTATGCTTAGATCCAGCAATATAACCATAAAAGACCCGCAGACATCATACCTAACTGCTACAATTTGGATCTGTGAAGTAGGAACAATTCAACAGGAACATAAGCAGATTCTGTGAAACCCTAAATGGAAAGCATAGATGAAAATGCAATTTCAGATCAAGCTAGAACGCGAGTAATTAATTGGCTGTAGAATGGGTCGCATATGCTAGTTATAAACGACATCCCTAAACTTGGCAGATCCTAAAAGAAGTGATCAGTCGGGGTGAAACTTGGACATTTTTAACACCCCTTTTCCCTCGCGGACGCGCCCAATGTCGAGGCGGTTTTTGTCCGCTCAACAACCATGAAAAACTCTGTCGCATTAAAAAAAAAAAAAAAAAAAAAAAAAAAAAACACACACACACACACTCGTCTCGTAGCTTGAGTGAAAGGCCATATATTCTTCTGCTTGGCGACTTTTACTTTACTCAACTCGGTCGATTGTTTTCTATTCTTACGCAAAAGAAAACCCAAAACTGGTAACTTTCGAGAAGAAAAACGAGTCGAGTGCCGATGTATAGTTTGGGTCAAACTGCATACGGTACTACCCGAACCAGGAAAGCTTTGACAACATTAGATGAACCTCGACCCCTACCTCGTGTCTACACTACTGTTCTTCAACGCCTTTTGTGATGTTTCGTTCCCTCACTACTCGTGTAAGTTTGTCCCTATCGTTCTGAGACACACACCCCTCTTACAGCTTGGGATGAGCAAGGGGCGAACACGAACGTGTTCGTGTTCGCCCATGCACGAACACAGCCGTTCGCCGAACCGAACAGTGTTCGGTTCGGCGAACACTTTTAGCAAAAACAGATGTTCGGTGTTCGCGTGTGAAGGCGTGTTCGGGCGAACCTCGAACACGTTCGTGTTCGACGCGGGGCGGCCTGCAGCAGCGGCCCGAACACGAACGTGTTCGGGCGAACCTCGAACACGTTTGTCACGAACACTTTAAGCTAAAGGTGCTGAAATGAAAGTTTTTGGTAGAAGCAGGTGTTCGTTTCTTTGCTCAACCCTACTTACAGCCAAGGTGTTACTAACGTACAACCTAGGCACTACTTTCTTCCTCACCACTTACCCTCCGAGATGCCAAGTGCCACGTGTTTCTACATTGATATTCAAGCTCTGACTCTGAGTCACGGGTGATAAATTCTTTAGAAATGAATCTGGCCTGGTGCGCTCACAAGACAGCCATTGTCGCGTCACTTGCTCACTTCACCACGCTTCTCCCTGCCTCTGCCCTTGTTCTGAGGGCCATGCCCTTCCCAGGTTACTCAGCTACAATCGGCTGACTGGATCTATCCCTGCTGCCAATGGTTCCCTCACAAGATTGTCTGCTTTGTAAGGCCTTGTGTGTTTCCAGTTTCTTCAAATGACAGTTTTTGGTACTCTTCCCATATTCCTAGCTGCTAATCCTGTAGACACATGCTTGTATTATGAGTGGGGGATGATCCGAAGTGACAGAACGTGGTAGAAGGCATGAGCACAAGTCCAAGTCGGCGACTCGGCTCATCTGCACCAGTCGCGGGTCGAGCCGGGGGTCTAGTGCAGCCGCGTCATTTCTGGTTGAGCCAACTCGGTCCGACTCGCGACATGTCCACGTACCAATGCGTGGTTTCTGCATCGGTAGCTGTGCTCTGTTCAACACATCAACGTAGCGAATGATATTTTGTTGCTAATTTCTGCGTTTTCTTTACCCTGGCTAGCTATTAGTGATTGCGTTTCTCAGTTCCTCCCTTGTCCAATATTAGCTTCCGCTCTCTCTCCCACTCCTCTGTTTTCCTCAACCTGGAACTTGCAAGTCCATGTTTCCTGCAAAACTTCTATCCTGTTTTGGTTTCTGGAATCATCTTCTCTCCCCTTTCTCGTCTCTTGGATTCTCTGCAAGGACTTCAATCCCTCGTCTTGCCCAATCTACCAATCCGTCTCTTATCCCTTGCTTGGTGTTTTCTGCTTGTTTGACAAGCTTAGAAGGCTTGGGTTCAATGATCTTGAGGGCTCCATTCCTGCCACGATGGGCTCATTAACAGCACTGGAATATCTGTATGTCCTTTCGTGTGTGGCTTTGGAGAGGGATTGATTGTCACCATTCTCCTCACATCTTTCTCCTAATCCTGTTGGCTACACACATTCTATGTGTCAAGATAACCTTAAGAGAAGTCCAGGAGACTACGTATGTAAGTTGATGAGTCACAAACAATGTTGGACTAGAGAAAGTATCGCGATACACTTGAGCAAGGAGGTTTAGAAAACCCAACCCAACTGAGGGTGTGTTCAGTTTGAGGCAAACGTACGAAATGAACCCTAAAGTGTAACTTGCTGTAAACATGATAGAACAATAAGAAAATACCATGATAAATGTGAGGGCGAACTCAAGCCTACTCCAACACTGTAAAATGTCCACTGTGGTTCTATTGTGCTCATGTAAGAGTTTAAGAATTTTGGATACCAGATTTGTGTCCCCTATCTACTGTTCGTTTCAGTGCATACTATAAATTTATTGCATGCCCAATTGCATGGGGTTTAGGCATTCGAAGTGATTTTATTGCATCTAACTAAACTAAACATATTTATTGCATGCCCAATTTGCGGCATTTGTGCTCGCGCTTGTTTCTGGCTGATCATATGCCTTCACGAAGCTCCTCATCTCACCACTCTATTTCAGTCCCTTTCGTGATGTTTTGTTCTCTCCTCACTGGTGCACGTATGTCTCTGTATCAATGCTGTTTCTCAGCCAAACACACCACAGCCAAAGCGTTAGCGACATACAAATTTGGCAGTAATTTCTTGTCGTCTCTAATTCTAAATACAAGCTCTGATAATTTCTCAGCTCTGACTCGCGCCAGGTGACCCACAACCACTCTCGCTGTACTTCCTCACTTCAACACGCTGCTCTCGGCCTTTGCCCTTACCCCGTGGACCATGCTCTTACCAGGAAAATGGAATTCAATAAGCTGAGTGGAACTATCCCTGCTGCCATTGGTTCCCTCACAAGATTGTCTGCTTTGTAAGGCCTTGTGTGTTTCCAATTTCTTCAAATGACCGTTTTTGGTACTCTTCCCATACTCCTAGCTGCTAACCCGGTAGACACATGCTTGTATTATGAGTGGGGGATGATCCGAAGTGACAGAACGTGGTAGAAGGCATGAGCACAAGTCCAAGTGGGCGACTCGGCTCATCTGCACCAGTCGTTCTTGTGCAGCCGACTCATTCCCAGTTGAGCCAACCCGATCCGACTCATGTGCGATATGTCCACGTATCAACACGTGGCTTGTCTCGCCAACTCCTGTAACTACCAGCTGGCAGCAGCTTTGTCGAGTGTTGTTCTAGATGTGCAAGACTTCTTTGCTGGAGAATGTGGGAGTAAATGGCTGCACTGGTGCTTGGCCCCGAGGGTTCGATTTCCAGCTGGGCACAGATTCTGGTGAGGGAAGGGTTTCTGAATCGGTAGCTGTGCTCTGCTCAACACTTGAATGTAGCGAATGATATTTTGTTGCTGATTTCTGCGCTTCCTTCACCCTGGCTATCTATTAGTGATTGCTTTCATCCGTGCCTCTCTTGTCCCGTATTTCCTATCTCCCGCTCTCTCTCCATCCCCTCTCTTCTCAACCTGGAAACTGCCAGTCAATGTTTCCTCCAATTTTTCCTGTCCAGGTTTCTGAATTCATTTTCTCTCCAATTTCGCTTCTCTTAGATTCTCTGATAGACTTTGATCCCTCCTCTTGCCTATTCCACCACTCCACCTCTTCTCCCTTGCTTGGTCACCGGGATAAATTCACAAAACCATGCCCAGAAGCAGTTGCACAACAGCAGCTGCTGCTAACGGTAAGTCTTCTTCAAGAACTCCTCTTCAGGCAGTGATGGGGGTGAAGTTCATGTTCTCCTTGGGAATCTCCGTGAATTCCGAAAGAATCGCCCGGAACTCATCACCGCTCAGGGTCTCCTTCTCAACCAGCACCTCCACAATCTTGTCAATAGCCTCGCGGTTGTTCCGAATGTGCGCCAGAGCCACTTCATATGCCTCGTCGGAGATGGATTTAACTGCGGCGTCAATGTCCTCTGCAAGCTTCTCAGACATGCTGTTGCGCGCCATCATGCGCATGATCACGTCGCCGCCCTGGCCAGCGGGGTCCATGAGAGCCCATGGGCCGATGTTGACAAGCTTAGGATGCTTAAGAACAATCATCTCGACGGCTCCATTCCTGCTACCGTGGGCTTGTTAACGAATATGAAAAATCTGTATGTCCTTTCTCCTGTAATGCCTCCACCTTTCATGGCTTGTGAGGTGTTCTCCAACGGGAGAGGGTTCCTACTATGCACGTGCCAAACTGTTGACGTGCTTTGCTCAGATGGTCGCATCATTGCTTGCATTCACAACACCATGTTATTCATTTATTCTTGCTTCTTCTGTTTACTCCTTGCTATGATCCGCTTTTTGGCTCTTTGGTATAGTTGATGCTTAATCCGTTTGTGCTGTGTTTATGCTGACAATATTGTAGCACCATCGTCGTATTACACTTCTTTAGATGTCTTCGCACACCTTTTCGTTCCTCTCAAACTTTTTAAGCTCGTAGGGGGTTCATGGCTCGACGGTCTCACACACCTCGTTTTCCTACATCTTCACCTGCATAGACTTCTTTACATATTCTTTAGCACTTTGCACCCATATAATCAAAGTGCATTTCGTTTCCTGTTTCTTTTGATGTCTCTGTAGTTCCACTCCACCTCGTCCTAAGCCCCTTCTCTCTACTTGCAAAGATTTTTACTGAATGTTTCATCCTTTTTCAAAGTTGTGCCTGCTCTCTCACTCTCTGTCGCACCCTCTACATTGCTTTTCTATAATGCAGAGGATTGAATGGCAACAAGTTCAGAGGTTATATCTCTTTTATTTCGACCTTGATTAATTTGCATTACGTGTAATGCCCCTTCTCCCTGCATGTCTACTTTCATGCGTCTCTTGTTTGCTTCCTCGAGAAAGGGCGGGTGATTTGTAGTATTAGAGCCACAGGTAGAGTTCCCCTCTAAGATGTCTCCCCATGTCGTCCCTCCTCACAACAATAATTTTCTCCCGGGCTTCCCCAGCGTTTTCCAATACATATGCGCCTCCCCAGCCAAGCATATATTCCAACTTATCTGCCGACTCTCCGACAACAGCCAGAGATGCCCCAGGGTCTCCATGGCGAATGTCACCTCGGCCAATGCCCGAGCGATTTGGAGCCCTCAATGATGCCACCACTTGCCTCCTCCATCCCCGGAGCCCGATGGGAGCACGCAACAGCAGGAAATTCTGCAGCAGACGCCATCGCCGCTCCTCACGCATTGCCAGCTTAGCCCCAAACGACCTGACTGGACCGCCCCCTGTGCAGATCAGTGCTTTCGCCCGCCGATCTGCGCAGATCGGCGATTTCGCCAGCGTAACTGTGCAGATCGTCAATTTCGCTGCCGATCTGGATAATGGGATTTTGCCTGTAGTTTACTCATCTCATCCTAGGCACTCGTTTCCAACAAATGTGTTGGAACAAACATTTCCAACCAATTTGCCACTGCTCGCCACTCTTTACCGCACTGAACTGAATCTACAATTTCCAACCCCTGCCCCCACCTCCCACTCTTTACAGATCTTTCGACATTGAGCCTAGACATTGAGCCTATACCTTGCTGATCTCGACATTGAGCCTATTACTTGCCTAGAAACTAGGATCTCGACATTGAGCCTATTACTTGCCTAGAAACTAGGATCTCGACATTGAGCCTATTACTTGCCTAGAAACTAGGATCTCGACATTGAGCCTATTACTTGCCTAGAAACTAGGATCTCGACATTGAGCCTATTACTTGCCTAGAAACTAGGATCTCGACATTGAGCCTATTACTTGCCTAGAAACTAGGATCTCGACATTGAGCCTATTACTTGCCTAGAAACTAGGATCTCGACATTGAGCCTATTACTTGCCTAGAAACTAGGATCTCGACATTGAGCCTATTACTTGCCTAGAAACTAGGATCTCGACATTGAGCCTATTACTTGCCTAGAAACTAGGATCTCGACATTGAGCCTATTACTTGCCTAGAAACTAGGATCTCGACATTGAGCCTATTACTTGCCTAGAAACTAGGATCTCGACATTGAGCCTATTACTTGCCTAGAAACTAGGATCTCGACATTGAGCCTATTACTTGCCTAGAAACTAGGATCTCGACATTGAGCCTATTACTTGCCTAGAAACTAGGATCTCGACATTGAGCCTATTACTTGCCTAGAAACTAGGATCTCGACATTGAGCCTATTACTTGCCTAGAAACTAGGATCTCGACATTGAGCCTATTACTTGCCTAGAAACTAGGATCTCGACATTGAGCCTATTACTTGCCTAGAAACTAGGATCTCGACATTGAGCCTATTACTTGCCTAGAAACTAGGATCTCGACATTGAGCCTATTACTTGCCTAGAAACTAGGATCTCGACATTGAGCCTATTACTTGCCTAGAAACTAGGATCTCGACATTGAGCCTATTACTTGCCTAGAAACTAGGATCTCGACATTGAGCCTATTACTTGCCTAGAAACTAGGATCTCGACATTGAGCCTATTACTTGCCTAGAAACTAGGATCTCGACATTGAGCCTATTACTTGCCTAGAAACTAGGATCTCGACATTGAGCCTATTACTTGCCTAGAAACTAGGATCTCGACATTGAGCCTATTACTTGCCTAGAAACTAGGATCTCGACATTGAGCCTATTACTTGCCTAGAAACTAGGATCTCGACATTGAGCCTATTACTTGCCTAGAAACTAGGATCTCGACATTGAGCCTATTACTTGCCTAGAAACTAGGATCTCGACATTGAGCCTATTACTTGCCTAGAAACTAGGATCTCGACATTGAGCCTATTACTTGCCTAGAAACTAGGATCTCGACATTGAGCCTATTACTTGCCTAGAAACTAGGATCTCGACATTGAGCCTATTACTTGCCTAGAAACTAGGATCTCGACATTGAGCCTATTACTTGCCTAGAAACTAGGATCTCGACATTGAGCCTATTACTTGCCTAGAAACTAGGATCTCGACATTGAGCCTATTACTTGCCTAGAAACTAGGATCTCGACATTGAGCCTATTACTTGCCTAGAAACTAGGATCTCGACATTGAGCCTATTACTTGCCTAGAAACTAGGATCTCGACATTGAGCCTATTACTTGCCTAGAAACTAGGATCTCGACATTGAGCCTATTACTTGCCTAGAAACTAGGATCTCGACATTGAGCCTATTACTTGCCTAGAAACTAGGATCTCTCGACATTGAGCCCGATGGTAGGGTTTTGACCCCCCTATGTCGAAATCGGGTTGGGCCTGTCCGACCCGATTTTCCATTTCCTGACCCGAAATCGGGTCGGGTCAAGCCGGGCCATAAACCCGGCCTTACCCGGCCCGATTTCCATGCTCGGGTTGGGATTTGGGCCGGGCCGGGTCGGGCCGACCCGCCCGGGGCACGCCATTGAAACCCCTGACCCGACCCGGGCAAAACCACGGGTCGGGTCGGACCGGCCCGACCTGAGCGGGCCCCATGCTCATGCCTACACCAAGCCGTGGTGGACTCGATGAACAGCCCTGCCCTGCCTGACCGCTGGACCAACCTGACAACATTTGCATCATCACACGGGCTGAAGGTTTGGGCCCCCGTGGCAGCCTAAGCCGAGCGGTGATGGCACTTGAAGCCACGCCTGTACGTACAACCACCCCCACCGTTCTGGATGCCCGAAAACCCACCAGAACTCTACTGCAAAATTAGCGGCCCTCCTCACTTCTTCACGTCCGCTAGCGCTTTCAAAGCTGGACGGAGGAACCCCCCCTATCGCTGTAGGCGAGTGCCTCATGCGTCTGGCGGCCAAATGTGCTCTCGTGATTGCATCGGTCGTCGCAGTACCCGGGGGAGGGGCGGCCATTATCCATACGTCAGCACCCACCCCATCGTCCTTCTGCTACAAGCGGACCTTGCCATCGTGGACAGAGGAGCCATCGTTCCGGCCCTGAGTGACTCATCCCTGTCCGGCCTCTTACCGCTGGTATGCCTTTCCTACGGCAGGCCCTTGCGGCTTTATCTGAACGCGGGTTTTCAGGTCCCGCCACTACTCAGCAAGAGAGGGGTCAGTGCAGAGGAATCCCCCGGGACAGTTGCCATCCGCCCACCACTGAAAGCAACGGCTCAGCCTTTCCCGTCCGTGCTGTGCCTGGCCTCCACTGATGACATTGACATCAGCTTCATGGCGAACCAGCTACCTGCGCGGCTGCCTACACTAGATTCACCTCCGCCTTAGTCGTACTCACAACCCGGCCAAGTGTGCCGCGTGGTACCGCTCCCCAGCTGCTCTCCTCCTACCCCATGGCGTGCCCTTCTGCCATGACGGACTTAAACGTCCCTGGCAGCCACATTGGCCCTGAGGACGGAGCGACCCCTTTCCTCCGCACACAATTGGACGCAATGGCCATCCTCCTCACACTTATTTTTCAAACGGATCCCCAGCTTGCCTCGCCGCTGCTCACCCGCTGCATTTCCGCAACTGTCTTACCTGGCCCGCGCCACCGCCTGCTCCACACATTTCTTATGCCGTGCAACATCCGCTACCCCCTGGTGACTCGCTGCGCCCATGCCTCGCTGCCTGTCTCCCTTGGGGGTTTAGATTAGCCAACTCCCTTGGGGAATTACAGCTACTTTGGGATGAATGGCACACCACCGACCTTGCAATCCGGGACCATTCCTCGGGGGCAGTCTGGATCTGCGACATGACAGTCACCGACCCCATCAGCACACGGATTCCCCCGAAGATGCCAAGGGCCAGTGATGGGCGGCAAGAGAGGCAGCGGCAAAGAAACCTACCACTACCGCAACAGGGCCTCTTCCCGCTCGCCGTGGAAACCTGTGGCTGCCCCTGCGGGGAGGCGGCCCCATTCCTTAAGCTCCTGGTGGAAACAGCCGCCCTCAAGCACCAACCCAACCCCTCGACCTACCAAGCAGCAAAGTTGCGCCAGTGCTGGTCAGTTGCGCTCCAGCTAAGTGCCTGGCTGCACAGATGGAGGACCCACCAGTGGGCTCTCTGGACAAAACAATGTCCCTTGGGAACTGCTTATCCTAGAGCCTTTCTTGGAGTCCAATTTGTGCTGTAGAGTGCACTGTGGTAATGGGTAGGTTTCTGAATGTTCTACAATGGCACTCACCTTTCAAGAAGGATCAATTGAGAGAGAGAGCCTTAGACTCTCCCCAGGTATGAAGCCTTAGACTCCATTCCCTCCTCGTTATTCAGTTTGTTCTTGTTCATTGCGTCCTATTTTCGAAGGGGGAGTGGGGGAGTGAGGGAATGGGAAGAGAGGAAAGTTTAAGAGCGGGAACGGGGAGAGAGGGAAGATGGAGAACGGGGAGGGGGGCAGCGAGAGGGCGAGGGCGAGGGCGAGGGGCTGCCCTGCTCGACTTTTCACACCACACATGTGTTTTTTCAGGCTTGCTCCCCTACTCATTTCTACCTCAGGTATCTTAACAACAATGAATTCAGTGGCTCCATTCCTTCTATTGGCTCTCTCTTCCAACAACTAGTTCGGTTGTGAGGACTCTACTTTTTTTTCCTTTTGTGTGCTTTCTTCCCATATATCGCCTTTGCAATTTTGCATTCCCCTTTTAAACTGCTGTCCTCACCACTCCTTCATTTCACTCCTCTTTATCCCCTCTGCCCGATGCCTCCTCTATTCGTCCTGCTCCTCCTATTCCTCCTCCTGCTCCTCATATTCCTCCTCCTGCTCCTCCCCTTCCAACCCTCCTCCTCTTCTGCCATCGTCTGATCATCCCAACCTGTGACGAGAGAAGTTATGCACAAATTTGTTTTCCTGCAAATAGTTGCAACTTGCATACCATTATGCCCTCTGCCAACCCCTGCGCATGTTTACACATCCCGTCCCTGCTTCCTCACTTGCAGCGATGCCCATGGAAACTACCTCTCAGGCTCCATATCTGGTCTTCCATGGAAAAGAATGGACCTCTCAGATAACTACTTGACAGGTCCTCTGCCCACATCAGACTGTTGGCGCCAAAACTTTCTCGCCACCAACTGTTTCACAGGCAACAACTGCTCTTTGGCGAACCAGCGGCTTGCAGCACAGTGCACGGCGTTTTGTAACATCTCCAGCGGCAGTGCTTGTGGTGGTCGTGGCATCTGCTATCCAGACGGACCCAGCTTGGTGCCAACGTGCTTGTGTAACCGGGGATACGTGCGGGTTGGAACAGACTACTGTCTTGCAGGTAACTTAATTATGTCAACAGACGAAAGTTCCCGAAAGCACAGCACAGATGTCAGTTGTTACGACATTTATGGTCCCTTCTTGTGAACTGCTAAATTCTGTAGTCATATGCTCCTGCTGCTTCACTGGGTGCCTGCGCTGCAACCTATGCTACACATTACCCAAAAAGTGAGTCGAGTTTTGATTCGACTCCCTGATTGACTTAACTTTTTGTCGGGTGGTGACTCGCCTCTGGCCGAGTCGATTCCAGTCGACTGGTGATTGCCTGACTCGACCAGTTTTGACGACTCGACAATAAAATCATGTGAAGATTACTGGGTCTCTTGCGGGGGCACTGAGATCGCCGGGGCCTTCTTCACCGCCTCCCTGCTGCAGCCCCAGGCGCTCTCCTGCTTCAGCACCCCCGCCATGGGGTGCAGAGCGGTGCTGCTGGGTGCGGAGGGGGACGGGGGTGGGGTAGTGGATGGGGGCAGTGGTGGGGGGGCGAGAGTGGTGGATCCTGGGGAGTGGAGGAAGGGGGGTGGTAGTGGGGATGGTGGGTTGGAGGGTGGTGATTGGCTGATGGGGGAGTGTGCGCTCATGCCTCGCATGCTGGGAGCTTCGTGGAAGCTTCTGAAAACGGATCACTACAGGGTCTACTTCGAAGGCATGCCAGAGTTTCACGGCCAGGTGCCTTTCAACCTACCCAGGTGCCTTTCAATCAACCTACCCAGGTGGCTCCCCACCCATCCCATCTAAATTCCGAGGCAGGTGCCTCCCTGCCTCCATTGCTCTTGCGCATGTGGGCCATACGTGGACTTTGTTTCTACTAGTATGTTCTCATCACCCCATGCCCCACCACCCCATGCTCCCACCACCCCATGCACCATCATCCCATTCCCCATCACCCCATCTCCCAACCATCTCACGCCCCCGTCATCATAACCCCACCACCCGTCCCCCCTGCTTCCCGCAGCGGCTGCGGCGGCACGGGGATGCAGTGGAGTGGGGGGCGGGGGGCTACTGGCGAGCACACGGGCGCACCGACGACACCATGAACCTCGGCGGCGTCAAGGTGGGGCTGCGGGTGGCAAGGTGGGGCTGCGGGTGGCAAGGTGGGGCTGCGGGTGGCAAGGTGGGGCTGTGGGTGGCAAGGTGGGGCTGCGGGTGGCAAGGTGGGGCTGTGGGTGGCAAGGTGGGGCTGCGGGTGGCATGTGGGGGGGCAAGTCCATACTTTCTCAACTGTGCCCGCCCTCCCAGTGCTCTCTCCTCCTGGCTTTCTCCTCTTCTCATGTGCTGCCTGACTTGCTTCGTGTGCCAACACGCCTTTCTCCATGCCAGCCCCATCCTCAAAGCACCTTCACATGCTGCTGCCGATGACCCCAATCCCCACGGTGACCTGGCAAGTGGGCTCGTATCTCCATCACACCCTTGCAACTGCCTTGCTAGGCTGGCCCCCATCCCAATCCCCCTGGCAGGTGGGATCGGTGGAGGTGGAGCGTGTGTGCAACACGGCCCACCCTGCCGTGTCAGAGACAGCAGCCATTGGCGTTGCGCCACGTGGCGGCGGGCCAGAGGAGCTGGTGGTGGTGGCGGTGATGCGACGAGGGGGCCGGGTGGGGGAGAGGGGAGAGAGGAGTGAAGGGGAGAATGGGGCGGAGGAGAGGGTGGTTTCAGAGGATGATCTGAGGAAGGTGTTTTCTGCTGCTCTCCAGGCCCACCTGAATCCGCTCTTCAAGGTGTGCTGCTCACTCTGTGTGGGTGGTTTCGGCCAAGACACCCCACTTATCTGTTGCCAGGACTCCACTCTCCAGTTCACGTGCCCACACACGCCCACACACGCCCACACACGCCCACACACGCCCACACACGCCCACACACGCCCACACACGCCCACACACGCCCACACGCGCCGACACACGCCGACACACGCCGACTCACGCTGACACGCGCCGACACACGCTGACACGCGCCGACACACGCTGACACATGCCCACTCATGTCCACACATGCCCGCACATGCCCGCACATGCCGATACATGCCCGCACATGCCCACACATACCCACACATACCCACACGTGCCCGCCACACATACCCACACATGCCCACACATTCCCACACATACCCACAGATTCCTACACATACCCACACGTGCCCACACGTGCCCACACGTGCCCACACGTACCCACACGTACCCACACGTGCCCACATGTGCCCAGGATCCAGGGATGTTGATTATCAACCGCCTGTAGTCCCATGACACTCATCCTTCTCACATGGTTCCACACATGCGTGTGCACGAGCGCACACACACACACACACACACTCACACACACACTCACTCACACACACACACAAACTCACACTCACACACACACGTGCGCACACACACACACACACACACACGCACACGCTGACACACGCAGACACACAATGTCACAAGACCATCTACCTCAGCAAGCTCTAGTACCACATATTCACGCAACCTCCCATCTCCATCGGCCCTCCGCCCCCACAGGTGGCAGCAGTGTGGGTGGTGCCGTCGCTCCCCTGCAATGCATCCAACAAGGTCATGCGCCGCGTGTTGCGAGACCTCTTCACCCACCGCCATCGCACCATGCCTGCCACCACACCCCCCACTCGGGGTCTTGTTGGAATCGCAGGCCGAGCTACCTCTCGCCTTTAACTTAGGCAGTTTGTCCTGCTGAAGTGCTAGTACTTTTGTAAAATATGTGTGTGCATTTTTCCTAAGCTAACGTTGCCTTTTGCCAAAGCATCCAGTTCCCAACAATGTGAAGTGACATGGTCCCTAGGAAAGCTAACCGTGTTGAGAAAGCACCCAAAACCAGGTTATTAAATGCAAGATGTCCGTTCCACGTTTAGTCAACTTTTGTACCATACGTCGCAAATGCGCTTACGCATGTGTTACCGAACAATAGAGAAACCAATAACGCCAGGAAAGTCCATGCAATGCCTTGGCTCCCACTGTGTGTTCTGAGGACCCTAACTATATGTTTTTCACCGTTGGTCAAACCCTAGTTCACTCCAATTGTACTGGTAAGCGTTTTAATATTGGAAATGCTGAGATTTGCATAACTTCTGTTATTCTAACACTTTTGTGGGTTTCGAGGGGACACTCTACAAAGCAGATTTCAAGGTGGGTGGGGACAGAGTCATCTGCCCGCAGAACACCGCCAATTGACAGACACCTGGGCCAGTCCGCCCGATCGCCTCTTGGAAGATTCGACGTCGCCTGTGGATGCACCCATTGCCCATCGCTGTGCACTGTGGATTTTTTCTGTACCACCTGTCGGCAGAAACGACCCGACAGTTGCAACCCTTCAATCCAAATCCCAAACCGAGTTCTTCGCCAGCAGAAACCGCGATGATGCAATCCTCACGCCTGCCTGACGTTTAGGACCAAAATGGCGGGCGCGAAGACGGGTGTGAAAGGACAAACGACGGTTAACGACAATGGCTCGCTGCGACAGCTCATTCTGCACACACCCCTTGCAAATGCGACGAGTTCTCTGCTCATCCTGGCGGTTGCTGTTGCATGCTGTTCTGGGGAGCCAGCCTAGCGTTTGTCTGTGGGGGGAAGGAGAGGATTGGGCTGCAGTGGAAAGGGGCCCTCCCAGCGTTTAGGGGTGGTTGGCAACCTCGAGAATCGACGGCTCATTAGCAGGGCTGTCGATTGGTTTGGAGCCAGAACTTGAGAGGCTGAGGTGCCCCAATAGTTGCCCTGAAATTTACGGGCTGAGAGCAAACCTGGCACTTGAAATCAGGGCTACCAACTTTTCTGCACTTTCGCTAAGGAAAACCTACATCTCTTCGGGTCCGTATCCTAGGCAAACTACTAAGAGCCAGCTAGGCAATAGTCTGAGGTACGAAACATGTCGATGGATTTGACGGGGATGTGAAAAGGAAGTAGGGGAGTGGCCGGGAGGAGGTGGGGGGACTTCTGAGCGAATGGGAGGGAGGGAGGTATTAGTATGGGACGGTAAGGATATAGCCGCGGGATCTGCACTTGAAATCCGGATTGGGCTCACAACCAGCACTTTGCGGGAAAGGGCTGCCCTCAAAGACAACCCTTTTAACTCGGAAGCTGGGCATAACCCAACCCTTAATGTTCAGAGCAATAAGAGCTTTTGCCCTTGAATCGTCAGCCCTGCTCATTAGTAGACCCCTCCAACCCCATTGCTGGATTAACCCCGAGGGAAGGGACCTGACTCTTCTCAACCTCATGATCTCGGGAATAGGTTCCGTCTGGGTTTGAATTTGGTTTCCGACTGTATTCTCGCTCAAGACATCATGCCATCAACAGATGATTAGAGGGGTTATTCCGCGTTTCCTCCACTGATCGTTAGGGGAGGTTCAGTAGGTTTTCAACGGCAACAGCTTTCTTTTTTGCGTATTTCGGTTGCGTGTGACGTGACATGGAACCTAGCCCTTGGTGCCTACGTTTTCGTCTGGATCAACTCACAACAGCCACAGTAGCAATTAGCGATGCCGAGGACTATACCCAGCGGAGGGAAATAACTCTGATTTTGCTACTGCGATTTCGAGCGAGATAGGCTAGAAACGACACCTAAACGTAGTTTATAGGGGTAGTGTAACACACCACACCACTGCCACTCCTAAGTAAAAGATTTGATGCTTATTTTCTAACACATCATAACCACAGGTAGGGGTGGGCCTCGCGAACAGAGGGACATACTGTGTTTCTGGTACCCTGAGGACACAAGACACGCTTTCCAGCTCACAAGCGTCCCTAACCTTCCCAACCATGTTTCACTGCACCTCTTGAAACTTGATCTTTGCTCTTCCCAAGGCATCAGGCGCCAGGCCCCACACACCCAACGTCCCCGCTCTCACCATGCATCAAGGTTTGGCACCTCAGGTCCAGAAGCCGATTCTAGAATCTAATGCGGGCCATCATCACCCCATGTCACCACCGCTACTAGCTGCTAAATCTTTCTGTGGCTGACTGCTTCTCATCTCATGCATCATGACCCCGCCTCGCATAGATCGCAATGTTCGCGCTAGCCTAGCGGTGAAATAGATGTATTGTCATCGACTCACACCAAGAACGTCTCGCAAACCACCCGACTTGTACTTTACGAGACTCCGTAGCAATTCTTCGTACTAACGATACTGCGAGGCAACTCCCCGTACTACGCACAATCAAGCGCAACAATCATGGCGCTCGCAGGCTCAGCCATTGCTTCCGGCCAAAAGCGAGGTCGAGAGGTATCTCCGGCTTCGCCGAGCCCCTTAGTAGTTGCTTTAGCCGCCAGTGACGTTCTGCGCGAACAGCTTCAGCGCCTGCTCGTCGCCCGCCTGCGGCAGCAGCAGCAGCGGATACAAGCGGTCCACGCAACTCACGCGGCCCAAGCGGTCCAAGCGGCCGCGCTACTCGAGTCAACCACTCTCGCGTCAAGCGCTGCTGAGCCGCTGCTCGCCAGCCCGCCTAATCTGACCAAGAGGCAGCGACTGGAGTCGTATCTGTCGTCATTCGTCCTGCCAACACCAGATTCACCAGCGAAGCCCAGCGTTCCCGTCGTTCAGTGCACCCTTGCTAACGCTCAAGACCGCCATTGCGGCTGCGAATTGGCGGCTTCGGTTGGCGCCGACGCGTGTACTAGCCTGCGCCAGTCTTTCTCCGTCGATCCGTGTTCGCCCAGCGAGCTCGTGCGACGGTCGTCGTCGTCGCTGATGGCGTCGGAAGGAAGCCTCACGATCAACGACGCGAACACGGCGATGGGGTTACCTCAGTGGCAGTGGTCGCCTGCGTCCGGTGTTCCGTCGCGAGCTCCTTCGTGCGGCGTCGATGGGCGACAGGAAATAAATCAGCCGCAATTTCGTGTGCTTTTGGAACAATTGCTGCGGAGGCAGCAGGAGGCGCAGCAACAACACCAAGCGGCGACACAGGAGCAATTTGTTATGCAGAGCCAGCAAACCTGGGGTTGCAATGGTATCGAGAGTCACGCTTTCGCATCCGTCGCAAGACAGTCGCCTTCCGTCGCACAGTCGCGACACGAACACATCACGGCGGCGTTGCGCGCCAAGATGCAGTCGGCTGTGGACGAGGCGTCTGCGAGCAGGCGAGCAATCGCAGCTCTTGAGGCGAAAGTCGCCATTCTATCAGGCGAGCTCGTTCAGTCGCAGCGGAAGCTCGCGACTTCTCGGTCGCAGAGTGCCGCACTAGAGGCGAGCCTTGCGAGGTCCCAGATGGCGCTGGTGCAAGCGACGACTGGGGAGGGCTATGGCGACAGCGACGAGGTGATAACGGGGAACCGTCCTGACCAGCCGTGCGGTTCGTCTTGCCATTAGCTCAACGGCTCAAGGGGACCTTACGTTTTGATTTATCATAGTATATTCGCATTTTGATTTCTACACTGGCCATCCATACAACGCGGCATTGTACTGTACAGCCTACTGAATCACTCCTGCAGCCTCAATAAGGGCTTCGGTTTTATCTCAACGCAACACCGATCTTCCTACGCCCTTGCTGCTCCAAGCTCAGAGATCACCTCGATGGGCCTCGCGCTCGCATGCGCTGCGGGCAGAAACCCCTCCTCGCTGCACCCGCCACCGGCAAACTGACTCACGCACCTCACCCCTGTGCCAATCGGATCACCAGTCGGATTCGTCGACATTAGCGACGTTGCAAACGGCACCCCCGCGCTGCTCAGTGTGCCGAGCGCCGCCCCCGTCCCCCCCACAAGAGCTCCTACCCCGCCGTATCCAGCTCCCCCGCCGCCTAGGGCCGTAATCGTGTTGGTCGCCGACGTGGAGCCGAACTGGTATGTGGGCGTGATGCCATTGGTCGTCGCCGTCTGCGACTGCGTGTTGGTCTGGTAAGCCGTCGCCCCTCGCTTCTGGTACTGCGAGTACGGCGTCGCGATGACCCCGGGAGTGCCAGGCCCGGTTTTGGTGGCGTCCGCGGTTTGGTCGTTGACGGTGTTCTGGTTGTTGATGCTGCCGATGTTGCCACTCTGCGCGTACGCTCCCATGCCCGCGTTCGGCCCCACCTGCTTGCGGCTGGTGGCGCTGTGGCTGTTGAACACGCGTGTGACCACTTGGAGGGCTGCGGCGATCCGTAATGACTCAAATCTCCCTGCAGGCCGGACGATTCAGAAGGGAGCGTCCTTTGCGTATAATGACCACCTGGGAAAAGCATCATCATGGTGGTAGCAAACAAATGCGTGCTCTATATGTCTACGGTACATTTATAAAGCTTACTTTGTGCATGGTCATGGCGCTCGAGCAGCCGTCGGCCGAGCAGGCTAAGTCCAGGAATACCAAAGGACGGCACGGCCGTGTTGATCTGACTCTGCGCGTTTCGTGAAAGGTCCAGGTTACCAGAGTTGCCCCTCTCGCCGTTACTTACGAGCCCCAGAGCTGCTGCTGTCGAAAACATCTCCGCCTGCATCTCCCGCAGCAGCGCGGGGGCGGCGCCGGGGAGATAGCTCCAGTAGTTGAAGGCCTGTTTTCTGTCGAATGCAAAAATGAGATTGAATGCAAATTACTACGGTACTAGCAGTAGTAGCACCATTGTTGTATGTTGTTGTATTTAGTAGTGTCTATTTGGACAAGGAGAAGTGATGAATGCATGACGTAATGTGCCAAAAGGAGGGCTCCGTGGTAGAGAAGCGTACCTCGAGGTGGGAGAGAAGATGACACGAGGCGCACTGACGCCCGACAGCCATTGCCAGCGCCTAGTAATCCCAACTGTAGTGACTGGGGCAGTTCTTGACGGCCAAGGTCTGGCTGCAGCAGAGCAATCTGCCACCGAGGCTGCGTAGATTAGCACAGGTAGGACCCATAGCATAAGTTTACTGAAGAATGGAAGCTCCGTCATGCTGAAGCCGTTTTAGTCGTCGTTTTTTGCTCAGCAACCTTGTCAGAATGGGCTAGACGAAGAGAATATATGCCTCCAGAAAATGAGGCTATGGACGGACAGATGACGGAGCTTACGAAAGAATTTGTAGCTGTTTCGCCCGAGCTGAAATTCCGAAATGTGCTCTGCTTCTGGAAATTGACGAGCCGCGAAGACCGTACGCTTCGAGGAGACTTTCATTTTGAGCTCCGCGATGTTTTCAGGCAGAGAGCATCGCGACAGTCAAACTGGAAACTGTGCAGTCACGACGCGTAGAAGGTGTATCATAGTTTACATTAATATTTATATTTCGAAGTGATATATTGAGCAAGCAGCCACACAAGATGCACTGCATGCCTATCCAGCTCCTACTGGATAGTGACAGTCCATTATCCGGACAACATCCACAGTACCTAAGAGCGCACGATCAAACCAGAACCCATGTTAAAACGGACCTCGAAACTTTCTTTCTACGGTACTAGAGCGTCGCGGGCCTGGGCCGGCACAGAGTTGCACTTCATAAGTTTTTTCAGACTGCGAGGGCAGAGGTGAGCGTGGAGGCGAAATTCTGTGCCATGGTCTGTGCTGCAAACTGTTGGATCTGCTTCTTGGCATCTGTGTATGTTCATGCATAACCATACACATGCATACACAACACATGCATATGATGAGCATGAACATGCACATGCATATCGGGCATACCATACCATGTACAAGCATGAAATAGATACATTTTCTTGGACATGCTTTTGAAAATTGGGAACATACTCGCACATGCATGATTGAGCCAGCGGATAGAGCAATGGGAAAAGCACAGGGGGCGGGGGAGGGTGGGGGGGGGGACGGGCGAGGGGAGCAGGGTTGGGGTGACCACGGGACGGGGGAGCAGGGGTGGGGGAGGAAGGTGTGGGGGGGCACCTCGGCGGCACTTGGTGTAGCCATAGATGTTGGCAGCGCCGAGCACGAGAGCCACGATGATGATGAGCAGATAGTCGAAGCTGAGGCGGATGACCTGGATGAGCCCCAGCCCCAGCCACAGCGCTGGCTGCACGTACATGCAGGCAGGCAGGGAGGCAGGCCGGCAGGGAGTCACATGCATGCACAGACACAGGCACACATATATGAACATGTTGCCATCCGTGTGAGCAAACACATGCGTGCACACACTCACAGATGCACACATGTAGATCAGCACGCAAGCACAGATGGATGAACCCACATGAGGATGAGAACGAGGATGGGGATGGGGATGGGGATGGGGATGGGGATGGGGATGGGGATGGGGATGGGGATGGGGATGGGGATGGGGATGAGGATGAGGAATGAGGAATGAGGTGAATGGATAAGCACAGCGTGACACTGTGCAGCAAGAATGAGGTGGATTCAGAATGAACGTGATAAAAACGTCATGATGCAACATTGAGGGTGTGTTACCGCATCACTGCAGTACCACAGTGGAGGCTGTGTAACCGCGTTGCCATACCGTGCAATAGAGTGTCCACCAGAAGACCCATGCGTCAGTCTTGCTCAGCTGGTCCAACGACTGCCGTGAGGCGCACGGGAGGAATGAAAGGGATGCGAGGGACGAGAGATACAGTTAGAGTGAGCAAAGAGCGAGAGAGAAGTTAATGTGAGGTGAGAGAAAGATAGAACGAGAGGAGGGAAAGATAGAGCGGGGAGGGAAGGTAGGGCGACGAGGGAAAAGGAAGAGCGATGAGAAAGAAACATAGAGTGAGGAGCGAGGAAGGACCATTGCCCCAGCATCCACCACCACCCCCCACCACTCCCCACCACGCTCCATTCACCGCCTGGTTGAGCCTGAGCAGAGAGAAACGACCATGCCCCACCACCCCCCACCATCTCGTGCCACCCCCCACCACCCCCCACCGCACTCCACTTACGGCCTGGTCGAGCGACTCGAAGTGCCAGAGCGTCTCGCCGGCGTCGTCGGTCTCGTTCCACCAGCGCAGCCCCACGAGGATGCGGCCGCTCACGTTCTTCACCACCCAGAAGTCGAGCGCGATGAGCAGCACGCACACCACGAAGTCGATCACAAAGCTGCTCGTGAACCAGCTGCCCAGCAGGTAGAAGCCCAGCGCTGCCGCCTGTGCGTGGAGGGGACGAATGGGGGGGTGAGGTGAGGGAGTGCTGGTGCCTGGCGGGAACAGAAGTCTGGGTGATTGGCTTCGTGGTGTGCGTGCTGCTCGTCGCTTCACCACGTGCTGGAGTGCTGGTGCCTGGTGCGTGAGCAGCACGCACACCACGAAGCCAATCACCCAGCTCCCCAGAAAATAGAATCCCAACGCTGCTGCCTGTGCGTCGCGGGGAGGAAGGAATGGGGGGAGGGGGGTTGGGTGCACTCAGAATCCGTCACAGAGGTGCACAGCAGGTAGACCCCAGCGCTGCTGCTTGTGCGTGTCAGGGAGGAAGGGGGTGGGTTTAGTCAACTCAAAAATATGAAGGGCGGGGGAGGGGGGGAGGAGAGTTGGGTCGTCATTCAACTGCCCAGCTGCCCAGCAGGTTGAAGGGCAGCATTGCTGCATGTGGGTGGCAAGGAGGGGAAGTGGAGGAGGGGCGAAGGGAGGTGCGGTGGGGTTGAGATGAGCGAGTGCTGCTGCCTAATTGGAACAGAAACACGTGAGGAGAATGGTGGGGAGTGGTATGAAGAGGGAGCACAGGGGTGGAGATAGGGAAAATGGTTGGATGCAAGGTGGTGCAGGGTGTGATGATGCGTAGCACGGAAGGAGAGTGGGTGAATGCATGTATGCATAGGGTGAGAGCATGTATGTGTGCGAGCATGTATGTGGCATGCATGCATGTGTGAGCGAGCGCATCTGACCTTGAAGAAGCAGGTGAAGAAGACCACCTGCGGATGGGCGTACTTGGGTCCTTCTGCCTGCTCACATGGACACAGAGAGAGAGAGAGAGAGGCGGTGCTTGAAGGCGTGAATCGTGATGGGATGGGACGGTGTAAGACTGGAGGGCGTAAATTATTAGAGCAAAGATATGTCAATATCTTGAACACATTTTGAACATATCTTGAACAATATCGCATTCATAACTTGAAATTCGTTATGCTAAACGAAGAAAGTGATAGTTTTTCTTCCCGACTGTTCACGAGGTCAGCAAGATGATATTCACACGGACGTCACCCCTTCCCGTCTGTCCCCCTTCCCGTCTGTCCCCCTTCCCGTCTGTCCCCCTTCCCGTCTGTCCCCCTTCCCATCTGTCCCCCTTCCCGTCTGTCCCCCTTCCCATCTGTCCCCCTTCCCGTCTGTCCCCCTTCCCATCTGTCCCCCTTCCCGTCTGTCCCCCTTCCCGTCTGTCCCCCTTCCCATCTGTCCCCCTTCCCATCTGTCCCCCTTCCCATCTGTCCCCCTTCCCGTCTGTCCCCCTTCCCGTCTGTCCCCCTTCCCATCTGTCCCCCTTCCCATCTGTCCCCCTTCCCATCTGTCCCCCTTCCCATCTGTCCCCCTTCCCGTCTGTCCCCCTTCCCGTCTGTCCCCCTTCCCGTCTGTCCCCCTTCCCATCTGTCCCCCTTCCCGTCTGTCCCCCTTCCCATCTGTCCCCCTTCCCATCTGTCCCCCTTCCCATCTGTCCCCCTTCCCATCTGTCCCCCTTCCCATCTGTCCCCCTTCCCATCTGTCCCCCTTCCCATCTGTCCCCCTTCCCGTCTGTCCCCCTTCCCATCTGTCCCCCTTCCCGTCTGTCCCCCTTCCCATCTGTCCCCCTTCCCATCTGTCCCCCTTCCCATCTGTCCCCCTTCCCGTCTGTCCCCCTTCCCATCTGTCCCCCTTCCCGTCTGTCCCCCTTCCCATCTGTCCCCCTTCCCGTCTGTCCCCCTTCCCGTCTGTCCCCCTTCCCGTCTGTCCCCCTTCTCGTCTGTCCCCCTTCCCGTCTGTCCCCCTTCCCGTCTGTCCCCCTTCCCGTCTGTCCCCCTTCCCATCTGTCCCCCTTCCCATCTGTCCCCCTTCCCATCTGTCCCCCTTCCCATCTGTCCCCCTTCCCATCTGTCCCCCTTCCCATCTGTCCCCCTTCCCATCTGTCCCCCTTCCCGTCTGTCCCCCTTCCCATCTGTCCCCCTTCCCGTCTGTCCCCCTTCCCATCTGTCCCCCTTCCCATCTGTCCCCCTTCCCATCTGTCCCCCTTCCCGTCTGTCCCCCTTCCCATCTGTCCCCCTTCCCGTCTGTCCCCCTTCCCATCTGTCCCCCTTCCCGTCTGTCCCCCTTCTCGTCTGTCCCCCTTCCCATCTGTCCCCCTTCCCATCTGTCCCCCTTCCCGTCTGTCCCCCTTCCCGTCTGTCCCCCTTCCCGTCTGTCCCTCTTCCCATCTGTCCCCCTTCCCATCTGTCCCCCTTCCCGTCTGTCCCCCTTCCCGTCTGTCCCCCTTCCCGTCTGTCCCCCTTCCCATCTGTCCCCCTTCCCGTCTGTCCCCCTTCCCATCTGTCCCCCTTCCCATCTGTCCCCCTTCCCATCTGTCCCCCTTCCCGTCTGTCCCCCTTCCCGTCTGTCCCCCTTCCCATCTGTCCCCCTTCCCATCTGTCCCCCTTCCCATCTGTCCCCCTTCCCATCTGTCCCCCTTCCCGTCTGTCCCCCTTCCCGTCTGTCCCCCTTCCCGTCTGTCCCCCTTCCCATCTGTCCCCCTTCCCGTCTGTCCCCCTTCCCGTCTGTCCCCCTTCCCGTCTGTCCCCCTTCCCGTCTGTCCCCCTTCCCATCTGTCCCCCTTCCCATCTGTCCCCCTTCCCATCTGTCCCCCTTCCCATCTGTCCCCCTTCCCGTCTGTCCCCCTTCCCATCTGTCCCCCTTCCCGTCTGTCCCCCTTCCCATCTGTCCCCCTTCCCATCTGTCCCCCTTCCCATCTGTCCCCCTTCCCGTCTGTCCCCCTTCCCGTCTGTCCCCCTTCCCGTCTGTCCCCCTTCCCGTCTGTCCCCCTTCCCGTCTGTCCCCCTTCCCGTCTGTCCCCCTTCCCATCTGTCCCCCTTCCCGTCTGTCCCCCTTCCCATCTGTCCCCCTTCCCGTCTGTCCCCCTTCCCATCTGTCCCCCTTCCCGTCTGTCCCCCTTCCCGTCTGTCCCCCTTCCCATCTGTCCCCCTTCCCATCTGTCCCCCTTCCCATCTGTCCCCCTTCCCGTCTGTCCCCCTTCCCGTCTGTCCCCCTTCCCATCTGTCCCCCTTCCCATCTGTCCCCCTTCCCATCTGTCCCCCTTCCCATCTGTCCCCCTTCCCGTCTGTCCCCCTTCCCGTCTGTCCCCCTTCCCGTCTGTCCCCCTTCCCATCTGTCCCCCTTCCCGTCTGTCCCCCTTCCCATCTGACCCCCTTCCCATCTGTCCCCCTTCCCATCTGTCCCCCTTCCCATCTGTCCCCCTTCCCATCTGTCCCCCTTCCCGTCTGTCCCCCTTCCCGTCTGTCCCCCTTCCCGTCTGTCCCCCTTCCCGTCTGTCCCCCTTCCCGTCTGTCCCCCTTCCCATCTGTCCCCCTTCCCATCTGTCCCCCTTCCCATCTGTCCCCCTTCCCATCTGTCCCCCCTTCCCGTCTGTCCCCCTTCCCATCTGTCCCCCTTCCCGTCTGTCCCCCTTCCCATCTGTCCCCCTTCCCATCTGTCCCCCTTCCCGTCTGTCCCCCTTCCCGTCTGTCCCCCTTCCCGTCTGTCCCCCTTCCCATCTGTCCCCCTTCCCATCTGTCCCCCTTCCCATCTGTCCCCCTTCCCATCTGTCCCCCTTCCCATCTGTCCCCCTTCTCGTCTGTCCCCCTTCCCATCTGTCCCCCTTCCCGTCTGTCCCCCTTCCCATCTGTCCCCCTTCCCGTCTGTCCCCCTTCTCGTCTGTCCCCCTTCCCATCTGTCCCCCTTCCCGTCTGTCCCCCTTCCCGTCTGTCCCCCTTCCCGTCTGTCCCCCTTCCCGTCTGTCCCCCTTCCCATCTGTCCCCCTTCCCATCTGTCCCCCTTCCCGTCTGTCCCCCTTCCCGTCTGTCCCCCTTCCCATCTGTCCCCCTTCCCGTCTGTCCCCCTTCCCGTCTGTCCCCCTTCCCATCTGTCCCCCTTCCCGTCTGTCCCCCTTCCCGTCTGTCCCCCTTCCCGTCTGTCCCCCTTCCCGTCTGTCCCCCTTCCCGTCTGTCCCCCTTCCCGTCTGTCCCCTTCCCGTCTGTCCCCCTTCCCATCTGCCCCCCTTCCCATCTGTCCCCCTTCCCATCTGTCCCCCTTCCCATCTGTCCCCCTTCCCATCTGTCCCCCTTCCCATCTGTCCCCCTTCCCATCTGTCCCCCTTCCCATCTGTCCCCCTTCCCATCTGTCCCCCTTCCCATCTGTCCCCCTTCCCGTCTGTCCCCCTTCCCGTCTGTCCCCCTTCCCGTCTGTCCCCCTTCCCATCTGTCCCCCTTCCCATCTGTCCCCCTTCCCATCTGTCCCCCTTCCCGTCTGTCCCCCTTCCCGTCTGTCCCCCTTCCCGTCTGTCCCCCTTCCCGTCTGTCCCCCTTCCCGTCTGTCCCCCTTCCCGTCTGTCCCCCTTCCCGTCTGTCCCCCTTCCCGTCTGTCCCCCTTCCCATCTGTCCCCCTTCCCATCTGTCCCCTTCCCGTCTGTCCCCCTTCCCATCTGTCCCCCTTCCCATCTGTCCCCCTTCCCATCTGTCCCCCTTCCCATCTGTCCCCCTTCCCGTCTGTCCCCCTTCCCATCTGTCCCCCTTCCCGTCTGTCCCCCTTCCCGTCTGTCCCCCTTCCCGTCTGTCCCCCTTCCCGTCTGTCCCCCTTCCCGTCTGTCCCCCTTCCCATCTGTCCCCCTTCCCGTCTGTCCCCCTTCCCGTCTGTCCCCCTTCCCGTCTGTCCCCCTTCCCATCTGTCCCCCTTCCCGTCTGTCCCCCTTCCCGTCTGTCCCCCTTCCCGTCTGTCCCCCTTCCCGTCTGTCCCCCTTCCCATCTGTCCCCCTTCCCATCTGTCCCCCTTCCCATCTGTCCCCCTTCCCATCTGTCCCCCTTCCCATCTGTCCCCCTTCCCGTCTGTCCCCCTTCCCGTCTGTCCCCCTTCCCGTCTGTCCCCCTTCCCATCTGTCCCCCTTCCCATCTGTCCCCCTTCCCATCTGTCCCCCTTCCCATCTGTCCCCCTTCCCATCTGTCCCCCTTCCCATCTGTCCCCCTTCCCATCTGTCCCCCTTCCCATCTGTCCCCCTTCCCATCTGTCCCCCTTCCCATCTGTCCCCCTTCCCGTCTGTCCCCCTTCCCGTCTGTCCCCCTTCCCGTCTGTCCCCCTTCCCGTCTGTCCCCCTTCCCGTCTGTCCCCCTTCCCATCTGTCCCCCTTCCCATCTGTCCCCCTTCCCGTCTGTCCCCCTTCCCATCTGTCCCCCTTCCCATCTGTCCCCCTTCCCGTCTGTCCCCCTTCCCCTCTGTCCCCCTTCCCGTCTGTCCCCCTTCCCATCTGTCCCCCTTCCCATCTGTCCCCCTTCCCGTCTGTCCCCCTTCCAGTCTGTCCCCCTTCCCATCTGTCCCCCTTCCCGTCTGTCCCCCTTCCCATCTGTCCCCCTTCCCGTCTGTCCCCCTTCTCGTCTGTCCCCCTTCCCGTCTGTCCCCCTTCCCGTCTGTCCCCCTTCCCATCTGTCCCCCTTCCCATCTGTCCCCCTTCCCATCTGTCCCCCTTCCCATCTGTCCCCCTTCCCGTCTGTCCCCCTTCCCGTCTGTCCCCCTTCCCGTCTGTCCCCCTTCCCGTCTGTCCCCCTTCCCGTCTGTCCCCCTTCCCGTCTGTCCCCCTTCCCATCTGTCCCCCTTCCCATCTGTCCCCCTTCCCATCTGTCCCCCTTCCCATCTGTCCCCCTTCCCGTCTGTCCCCCTTCCCCTCTGTCCCCCTTCCCATCTGTCCCCCTTCCCGTCTGTCCCCCTTCCAGTCTGTCCCCCTTCCCATCTGTCCCCCTTCCCG